AAAAAAAAAAAAACCTGACTTGTGAAATAACATAAAAGAGGCTTGGCACCTGTAGCTCAGTGGTTAGGGTGCCGGCCACATATACCAGGGCTGGTGGGTTTGAACCCAGTGCAGGCCTGCTAAACAACAATGACAACTATAACAACAACAACAACAAAAGATAGCCAGGCGTTGTGGTGGGCATTAGTAGTCCCAGCTACTTGGGAGGTCAATGCAAGAGAAATCACTTAAGCCCCAGAGTTTGAGGCTGCTGTGAGCTATGACGCCATGGCACTCTACCAAGGGCACCATAATGAGATTCTGTCTTAAAAAAAAAAAAAGAAAGAACATAGAAGGTAAATTATGGAATGAGTGATTTATAAAAGAACTCTGCTTTTAGAAAGATGTAACAAAGTCCCTTAATTATTATGAAGCTTTTTCAAGATATGATTTGTGAATAAAGCTTCAAAAATAAGTTCACTATGGAAGGTAAATACATATAAACACTTTCTTCTGTTTCTATCCTAAAATATTGTATATTAATACAGGCTGAGCATGCTGAACCTAAAATGCTCCAAAATCCAAAACTTTTGAGTGCCAACGTGACATCTCAAGTGGAAAATTCCACACCTGATCTCATGAGATGGGTAGCAGTCAAAATGTAGTCAAAACTTTATTTCACGTACAAAATTATTTAAAATATTATATAAAATTACTTTCAGGCTATATATATAAAGTATACATGAAACAAATAAATTTTGTGTTTTGACTTGGGTACAATGTCTATTATGCCTACAAAAATATTCAAAAATCCAAAAATTCTGAACTCTGGTCTCAAGCATTTCAGATAAGAGATACTCATTTTCACCCAAAACACAGTATCCAGTGTTTCTCTACCAAATTAATATATAGCACAATGGCAGAAGACACATTAATTATGTGTATTTTTTTTAAATCTCTAACATATATATCCCCTTTACTGAACATTTTTGCTAACCCCTGAAAGACATAAAGATTCATTAACACAGATAGCCGAGAAAAATTTAATAGCCCTCATTTAATCTTTTTAAAATCCATGATTATGTTTTGGGGGTTTCCTTTTGTTTTTCTCACCACTGGTGCAGTTGAACACACTGGAGAAGATTTTGCTGATGCAGAAAACTCATCCCAGAAAAGAGATACTCCAGAAAGCTGAAGTAACTTGTGAGCAAAGGCTGTGGGCTGATGTACATTAATTCCTGAGGATTCATCAGCAGCTTCATCACAGTATACAGTTCTGAAATTTAGAAACAAAAAGAGCATTTACATAAACCTTCTGGAAAAACTGGTGGTCAATAAGACACGTACACAACTTTTTTAAGTTAAAAGGATTTTTCAAGTGCTAGCATGTCTTAAAATACCTGTAACGTGGTCAGCATCATTGTGCTTCACTACAATTAAGTATTCTCATGAAGAGACCTTAACATCAAGAAAGATAACTTCATGAAGCTTAAATTGAGGGGAAAAAATTAATAACTTCCTAAAGTTAGCTTCAAGGAAAACAATCCTTTTACTCCTCCACTAAACATTTCTTAGTAAACAGTAAGCGTGCATTTGGCTCCAGGTCACAAGCCTGACATGAATGATATTTCTTTAATTCTTACGTGTAACTAATCTTAAATTTAAACAAAATATAGAATGTGGTCTTGGACACAGATCTACAGATAAAAGAATGTGGTAGCCAGGTGCAGGGGATCACGCCTGTAATCTTAGCACTCTAGGAGGCCAAAGTGGGTGGATCTCTTGTGCTCAGGAGTTCTAACCCAGCTTGAGCAAGAGTGAAACTCCATCTCTAATAAAAATGGAAAAATTAGCCCAGTGTGGTGTTGAATACCTATCAGCCCAGCTTTTCAGAAGGCTGAGGCAGGAGGCTCACCTGAAACCATGAATTTGAGGTTGCTGTGAGCTAGGCTGGTGCATTCTCTAACCTGGGTAACAGAGTGAGACTAATGAAACAATGGAATGGAATGGAACTGAATTGAAATTAAAATAAAAGAAGATTCATAGAAAACTCATTCAAAAAAAGGAAAAAAGAATTTGGCACCTGTAGCTCAGCAGCTAGGGTGCCAGCCACATATACCAGAGTTGGCAGGTTTGAATCCAGCCCAGGCCTGCCAAACAACAATGACAACTACAACAAAAAAATAGCCAGGCATCCTGGCGGGCGCCTGTAATCCCAGTTACTTAGGAGGCTGAGGCAAGAGAATCACTTAAGCCCAAGAGTTTGAGGTTGCCGTGAGCTGTGACATCCAAGGGCAACATAGTAAGACTCTGTCTCCAAAAAAAAAAAAAAAAAGGAAAAAAGAAAAAAAATGTGGTTCTAAATGCATGACATGTTAGATACTTTTTTAATGTATTGTTTAAGGTAATATACTCTAATTCAAAGATCTGTTAATAATAACTATTTCTCTAATAGGTATGTTTTGTGAAAGATGAAAACCATAACATGTCTGCTTAAAATTCCATAAAGGCCCCCAATAGATACATACACAAAGTGCCTTTGGTGCAAACTCAGTGTACACACTTCATCCTACTCATTCCTACTGGCAGTTCATTATTTCTGTTGGCAGCTCAAGTAGCACTAATATACACGTGAACAGTGGCTACCTCAAGTCAACACCCAGGTGTGTATGCATGTAAATTTATCCATATTCTAGACCTATTTATAGGCGCTCCAGGTAGGCATACAAAGAAAAAAAATTTTTTTTTTTGAGACAGAGTCTCAAGCTGTCCCCCTGGGTAGAGTGCCATGGCATCACAGCTCACAGCAACCTCCAACTCCTGGGCTCAAGCGGGTCTCATGCCTCCGCCTCCCAAGTAGGTGGGACCACAGGCACCCACCACAATGCCTGGCTATTTTTTTTGGTTGTAGCCATCATTGCTGTTTGGCGGGCCCGGGCCGGATTTGAACCCGCCACCTTAGGTGTATGTGGCTGGCGCCTTAGCCACTTGAGCCACAGGCACAGAGCCATACAAAGAAAATTAAAAGCAATATGTTACCTTTTAAGTAAATCATTATTGTATATATTGACTTTAAAATAAGCCTCTCAAAATCCTCCCAAGAAATAGTGGCCTTGGCGGCGCCCATCGCTCACTGAGTAAGGTGACAGCCACATACACCGAGGCTGGCAGGTTTGAACCCAGCCTGGGCCAGCTAAAACAACAATGACAACTAAAAAATAAAAAGAAAAGAATAGCCAGGCATGTGACAGGTGCGTGTAGTCCCAGCTACTGGGGAGGCTGAGGCAAGAGAATCACTTAAGCCCAAGAGTTTGAGGTTGCTGTGAGCTGGGATACCACAGCACTATACCCAGGGCAACAGCTT